TAGCTCGTATCTCTTTTATTTATCTCCTTCCTTTTTAAATAGTCAGTTAATTTACCTTCTTTTTCCCACCTTCTGTTACTCCTAAGAAGCAACCTTAGTACCCACGTAGCTCTCCCGATCTACGTATCAAGCTTTTAAATAATACGAAAGTAACGTAGGATTTTAATTTAACTATAAAAAAAACTAACTTAGAATAATATACTTTACTTGAAAGCGACGTAAGGGTATTAATCTAAAAAGAATCTACGTATAATAAAACTTTATTCTTTAACGAAAGAGTTAATTTATTTAATAAAGCTAGTATAATATTCTTAAAACTCCCGAAAACCTAACGACCTTTAAAGCTATCGGCTTTAATACCCTTTCTAAGATTATATTTATTCTTTAGATTACTTACCCTAGCTAAAGCTAAGGTACGGTTAGTTTTATTATTACTAAACCGTATATAATTATTTAAAGCTTAATCTAGTAATATTTAACATAATAATAACGGGAATAAAGCTCTAAGCCGAAGTAGCTCCTCGTTTAGTATTAACCTAGGAGCTTTAACGAAAATAAGTAAACCTACGAGGGGTATAAGTAGCTCGCTATCGAATACCTCTATTACGGGCGCGATTACTACGAATACGGGAGCTACGAAGAGGACGGGTTAGTATCGAAACCTATTTACGTCTAGTAAGAAAGCTATCATCTTAGGCGAGAATATCCGTAGTCGCTTATTTACGTAGCGATTCGGTAGTAAGCGGTAATATAAGCTAACGTTATTACTTAAGATAATATTAACGAAGTAGCTCCTTTATTTTCTCGCGAAGAACGGTAGTTTAGAATAATATAATTAAAAGAACGATTTACGTTAAAGGAAGCTCGGAACTTACTACCTTAAAGTTAAAGTTTATTATTTAAGCGGCGACGAGCCGTTAAATAGGACGTATAACGTAAGGGTAATTATAATTAATTAACTTAAAACGAAAGGTTATATAATTCCTAGGGATACTTATAAAGCTACGTAAGAATAGCTATACGAATAACTTAAATAACGGTTAATAAAAGTTAGAAATTAGAAATATTCGCCCGTCGAACGATATTAGGTAGCGCCGTTAATATACTAATAATAAGGGATATTATTACGCGGGTCGTATTCCTCGGTAATAACGAGAAATAGCGAGGCTATATTATTATTAGCTCGGGTAACTCTTCCGATTCTTTTAAACGTAAGCGATAATTCGATAGCTTCCTAGGAGTTAGATCGTATTAAAAGCTCTCGAAAAACGTAAGTAACCGGGATAAAACTCGGTTCGGCTAACTATCGGGTAATAATAAGAATAAGAATAAGAGCTAGCTCGAATTTAAAAGCATTACCTTTATTAAAAACTTACTTTTTAAGCGCGAATATAAAAAACGGAACCGAGTTAAGAACGAGAATAAAAACAGCAGTAGCGTTAACGCGATAGCGCTTTCCTAAACTCGGTATAATATCGTTAATAATAAACGAACGATTATTAAGTTATTCGTAACTTAAAAAAATAAAAGGACCGCCGGCTTTTATTAAGCGAATAAACGTCGGCGCGACGGCGGTAATAATAATAAGGAAATTATCCTTTCCGCTCGGAACTTCCGTAAGAATACTTAGTATATATAGAGATAGCTTTATAAGTACTCGGTATTTACCGATAATTTCCTTAGGAGCTATTAATACGGCGCCGGCTTAGGCTTTCGAAATAAGAGCGATTACGGGTTCTTATTCGACTATAATAATAAGCGCCTAGCGGGATCCCGGAATAGCTCGAATAATTACCTTTAAGTCGCTTCCGGAATCGCTTTCTATAAAGCTATCCGTAGTCTCTACGTCCCGAGGTATAAACTCGGAAGTATTACTATTATTATCTAGCTCTATAACTCCTTACTCGCGAGTAACGCGACGGACCTCCTTTCGCTTTAGATCTTTACGTACTTATTCCCGTTTAATATAACGAACTCGTTACTTACGATCCTTACCTCTAAAGCTACTTTCCTTACGAGCCCGCTTATAAGTTCCGGCCTTAGGTTCTTATTTAACGAGAAAAGCTCTAGAGAGTAATAAAACGCGTCGGATTATACAACGTTCGAGGGAACGAAGTTCCGTAATATTTTATACCATAACTAAACCTCGGTCGAAAATCTAAAGTAAATAATTAATTAAAGGCTTGTAATTTATAATAACTTAAATATAAGAATTAATTTATATATCGGTAAATAAATTACTCTTTCTTATCGCGGTATATAAAAAGATTATTAATACCGGCGTTAAAAGGGGAACTACCTATAATAACTACTAAGATATATATATTAACCGCGATATCGTAAGTAGAGTTATCTAAGCGAGCGATAGTAACGTCGAGAAACGTATTACGTTATTCCTCGGTAACGCTAAGTATAATAATAAAAGTAGCTTTAGCGATACCTAAAGTACTCGAAATAATAATAGCTCCTTTTATAATAATAAATTAAGCGATTAGTTTTACGTACTCGGCCGAAGCTCGGTCGCGCGTAGTAATATCGTAAGCTCGTTCCTCGACGAATATTTAGGCGTAATTACGGAATTAATTTATTCTATCGCTTAATATCTTAGCCGCGCTATCGATACTAATAAGGATCTCGTAAGAACCGGAACGGTCGGATATCTTATCGAACTATTAGCGTTTAATTACTTATACCCGTATTGATATTATAAGAACGTAAGCTTATCTTACGCCTTACGCCTATTATATTAATATATAGCTTACGTTAATAACCTATTATAAGTTCGTTACGAGAGCGAGCGGTAGTAAGGAAGTACTATAATTAAAAGAATACTTACTTAAATAAAGCGCGAACTAATGAAGTAATATATAAGTTATATTCGTAATCGAGAGTAATAAGAAATTAAAAAGAAGCGTATTTAATTAGCTTTAGATATGCCTCCATAGAAGAAAAGAAAAGAAGGAGAAAGCTATTACGAAAGGGTAGGAGAATTTTCTCTTATAATATAGGAACTCGAGTATAGGGAGGAGCGTTACCGGGTATTAACTTAGTAAAGCTACGAAAGGATTTACGTACGATAATAATAATATAAAGCGACGTGATAAGAGCCCTTATATACGTATAATAAATACAGTAAATATACTTAATTAAGAGCTACGATATATCTCTTTTATTAGAATATTAAGAAAAGCTAATATAGTAGTTAATTAAGAGGATACTTTAAGTTATTAAGAGTATTATACGGAGGCGTAAGTAACTAAAGCGACGAATATACTACCCCGGAAAGCCGGCGAAGCGAGTAAGGCTCGAGTTAATCTAGGACTTTTATTAAGAGAATAGCTAAGCTAACTATCGCAAGCTATTCGGCTAAGTTATTATTATTATTTAACTAAGCTCGCTATCGCGAGCCTAGCTAGAGGGTATATTATATAGAGAGCTACCTATATATGGCTCCCTACTTCTTCTCTAGTTACTTACTTACCTAACATAGCTTCTAGCTCGCTTATATAACATAGCTCGTAGCCCCTTATTATCTATATATAAATAGCTCGTATCTCCTTTATTTATCTCCTTCCTTCTTAGATAGTTAGTTAATTTACCTTCTTCTTCCTACCTTTCGTTACTCCTAAGAAGCAACATTAGTACCTACGTAGCTCTCCTAATCTACGTAATATATATCATTATTAACGATATACCCTTTAATAATAAGGATATGCTCTGTTATTATAAGTAAATACTCGGGTATTGAAGTAGTTTTTTAATAACAAATAAATATTTAAAAAAGGTATATTTAATTAATTAAGCATTACTTTATATATAAATATATATTTATCGGGGACTCTAACTTAAGGACTTATTAAAGTATATAAAAAAAACGTTTAGTAAAATTTAGGTTAAGGAGGATACGTAATAAAAACTATAGAAACTACGGTAAATAAAAGAAAACATTAGAAATATAAACGTATAATATTATATAACCTTACTAAAAGGCTTTTGCAAAAATTATTTTTAAAAGTAATGTAAGTAACGTAAGATATCTATTAGTTATATAAGAAGGAATTATTTAAAAACTTTCTAATACAATTTAGCTTTTTAAATTATTCTTTTATTTTAACTATTAATTATTTTATAAAATATTATTTATATTTATATTTATATTTATATTTATATTTATATTTATATTTATATTTATATTTATATTTATATTTATATTTATATTTATATTTATATTTATATTTATATTTATATTTATATTTATATTTAAATTTATATTTATATTTATATTTGTATTTTATTATATCATTAGGTTTTATTTAATTTTAAAGCTTTCATTTATAAGCTTGAAGTAATTATATTAAAACGTATATTTTATTTAAAAGACTGAATTATTTAATTAATTTATAATTATAAAAAAGTATAACGTATAATATTAATTATTTACGTATATCGTTAATCGGCATCGTATATTACGTAACGTAAAACCTAAGCGTAGAGCGTATAAGAACGTAGGTATAAACGTTATAAACGTAGGCATGTGGCTTTGTATGGTAGAGTAGGGTAGCTTACGTAAAAATACCCGTTTTGTAAACTTTTACACTGTAACGCAGGTTTGATCTTATTATATTAGATGAATAAATGAGATACAAGCTACCTATATATAGATAGTAGAGAGCTGCGAGCTATATTATGTAAGCGAGCTGAGAGCTAGGTTATGTAAGCGAGCTGAGAGCTAGGTTATGTAAGCAAGTAACCAGAGAAGAAGTAGGGAGCTATGTATAGGTGGCTTTCCATGTAATAAAAGATTATATACTATAATTTACGACTAAATTACTCGTGCGAAGGAATAGACGCAAAAGGAGGTAAGTTCCATATTATGAATTCCTACGCAGCTTATGTATATTAAAATGCTCGTTGTCGCCGAAGTAAAGATGGTTAAGGGGGTTTAGCTATATTCGACTAGTAATTTTCGCAATTTTACGTCGTTATTTGAACTGAGTTTGGGATAATCCTCTTGGGTCGGGTAAGCCATCTTTAGCTCTTATTATAAGTGAGACCCCCTAATATGTTACTAGCCACCAGGCGTACTTCCCATGATTCAGCATACATTATGTTATATATCTTCCTGTGTACGGCAGTGAGCGCTCATATTGGTATTTAAGGAATTTACGGCCTCGCGTAGCGGCTATCTATCCGTCCCAGACTAAGCGGATACAAACGACCTCGTTCCAACCGCCGTAGTTTTGCATGCCGACCTAGGCCTTAAATACCGAGGCTCTTCAGGCAAATCCACAGGGCCACGGGCACGATAACGTTGTCATTACCGCCAGTTAAGACCGCCTCCGTGAGGCTGGCGGTGACAGCGCAGACTCCCATCTTCGGGGCCGCCGCCACCGGCGCATCAGAGACGCCGTTCGATGGCGGCCACCCTCCGATATGTAGCCAAACTCGCGCCACGGCCAAACCCAAGAAGACTGCGCATGCGAAGGCTATGCTGCCTTCTAGACTCTTGCCACCACCCCATAGCCATTTGCGCCTCCCGTAGCGCCTTCCAATTAACGAGGCGGCTGCATCACCCAGTCCAACACATATAACACCAGATACCATTCCGACTTCCCTCGTGGGTACGTCCCAGCCCTCGAGACAGCCGACGCCAGTGCGTGGGATCGAGCCCAACGATAACCATAGCGGAATGGCGCACCCGATAAGGAGAAAGATATGCGAGATGACGACCGGGCCGCGGAGGTCTCGCCCGTCAACGTAAGGGGCAAGGAAAGAGGCCAGCGGCTTCGATACCGGTGGAAGCTGGCTCGCTCGAAGTAGGTCTAGGAGAAGAAAGAAGGCGAGTGCACCAGATAACGCCAAGGCCGCGAACGCCGGATCTATGTAAGTTGCTGGTAAAAACATGGCTACCATCATAAAATGGAACACCTTTCGCCGGGTGTCCACTTCATAAATCTGTGATAGCTGGAAGACGACTATCAGCCCAGTGACAATGATGCTGAGGAAATATCCACTCAGAGCAAGGCGAGTATTTGCCTCGCCAAGGTACAATCGGCGAAGATGGTCGACCCAACCCGTTCCACGTAAGTATCCTGGCTCGACCGGCCTCGAAGGGAGGCATATCCATCCCTCCAGGTTACGACTTACAACCTCCCACCGAAACCACTGCAAGTCGCCCAACAGATAGCCCAGTGCCCATCCTATGGGTTCACGGCCATGGAGCGCTTCATCCATGATCGCCCGTTTGACACCGATAAAAGGGATTGGGAGTAGGACAGCCCCGGCAACGCAGGTGTAAACGTACAAAGCATAAGACCATTTTCGGGCCGCCGCTTGCTTCTGCGTGAGCGAGAAGAACACCCGGACAGAATCGGGAGTGGTTCGCCTCCTTCGGCCAGATGGAGTATGCGTATAGGATTTGGGCGGTGCCTTTGTTACACCGAGCAGGGTATGCCGCTGGGATGATTTAAGGGTCTTTGTGGTGGCAGCGTCGCGAGTACCGCTGGCATTAATATTACCAGATCCGCCCAACGTAGTTATCTCGAGGTCGTCACTCTGCTGAAGATCATCAATCGGGGCGCACGCTCTGCCAGGCGAACCGTCCGCCGGGGTATAGCGCAAACCACGCTCCTTCTTCTTCCACGGTAGAGCGGCGGAGAATAGTGCGGAAGTTGCTTTCAGCGATCCCGGCGTCCTCTTGAAACGCCACTTGGGGACACGGGCTAAAGAGATCCCCCAATTGATGACCTGGCTACAGGAAACGAGGATGTCAAGGCCCCCAACCCAAAGCAACGAGTTTAGAATGATGGCCTGCGGAGAGGAGGAAAAGAGCATCAGGTTAATGAGGGAGATAGAGAGCAGCTGGAGCTCCGCGGTGAGGAGACTGGTTGTAGTCAATGTACGCAGCACCGAGCAAAGACTATGGTGAAGCGGGTAGAGGAGCATCGTGGTTTCGAGCGAGATATTGGTCCGAGAGCTCTCCCCACCACCGAGATCAGCGCGCCCGAAGATGGGCTGGCGAGATCCTGTATCCACGAGTAACGGCGTGCATGACAGCGCCCAATGCAACGGGTCGCACCCTCCATCGTCAAGTGTAATAGTGGGAACCAAACTCGGCGGCAAGGAGCAGATGGTGAGTATTATGTTTGGTAGGAACACTGCCTCATTATCGACCGCGAGAAGTAGGGAGACAAGCATGGTGATTGCCGGTGGATAGAGGAGCGGTGCTGTATCGAAGGATACTGGTATCGATACAGCTATCTTCCTCGTAGGCGTTCGATGCCAGTATGCCCACATCACAAGACGTAAGGGGTAAAGTAGCACCAAAACGGCGTAGACTCCTCCGCAGACGCAGAGCTCTACACCTAGGATCAGCAACTCAATTTGGACAGCTCGGGTATAGAGGCCCACCTCGGTGCCGCCTACGTATCATGAGCTGGGCACGGATATTGTCGTGGACGGTAAGGCCGAGGAACCCAACAACGAGCAATTCTATCACGCGGCGAATAATCTCCTTCCTCCGGCGCAGCGTGTCGGGGCCTCGTAACTTGGGACCCGAATGTGCCTCTCTTGTCGGGTTCAACGGGAGTCTTTGCCCTTCTTCCTCCAGAATAGCGGGTGATGGTAGCGGGGTGGAGGCACCCGAGACCACTTCATTGCGCCCTCGCAAGCCTTTGTGCAACCTTCTAGGAGCAGGTAAGCCTCGGAGGAAGTGTTCATCGTCAGCCTCGGTGCCGCTATCACTGCTTGGAGTAACTTCTCTAGAGGCACCGTGAGCCGCTAGTCTGGCGTTGTGGTGGTTGTCCAACGATCCGTACAGGTGGGAGGATGGATCCAACAGCTGCGAACTGGGACGATGGTAGGGGTGTGGGGATCGCGAGAACAGTCTCAGGGCATTTTGTCCAGACGTGTGAAGGTGCTCAGGCATTATCAAGACCCGGTGGCCGAAAAGGATACTGGACGAGCAAGAAAATCGAAAACATGCAATCTCGCCCAAGTGTCTTCCTAGCCTGGTGCGTTAGTAGTGTGAGGGAACAAGTAAATACCTGTGTTAATAGTAAGTAGTAATAATAATACTAATAAGAAATATAAATACTGATAGCTATAAAATAAATTAAGTATTAATGAAGTAAAACGCCCTATAAGCTTTAAATATATAATAATAGTATTATTTTTAATTTATATAAATATTATATAGTAATTAGCTTAATATAAATAATAGATGCTATATATAAAATTATTTAATACAACTGCCGGAGGCTGTTTACGTAATACGTAGTACCGACAGGATCCTAGGTACCTGTCCAGCACTAAACAAGAATGTAGACCCGTTTCTGTCCTATACTTTCGTATTAACCCCGCTTATACGGATTCGGCTAGCTGCGCCTACCTTTCGAGGTACCCCTCTAGGTAGGTGTACCTACCACGTATGTACACAATTATAGTGCACTTTTTAGTGCCCCCCCCTGTTTCGGCATGCGTGGCCGCAAACTAGTATAGGTACATACATCAGATCCCAAAGGTACACACACCTAGGTCGGCAAGGAGACTCTGACAGAGCAGGGTTTACAATAGCCAACCTAAGCGCCCTTTGCAGAGGGATTCCCGACGCCCTTGCCAGCATGTTTTGGATAAATACAAAGGCTCAAATCTCTATACACGGCACAAGTATCTCGAAAATCGATTAACTACTTTGTTTTTACAGTTAGGTATTTATACTTATATATATCTTGTATAGTTACCTGTTTATATATACTATATATACCTATATATAAATGTACGTACTTAATAAAAACTCTATTATAGGCGCGTAAGTACCTAATCTGTTACGTATAGTTATAGGATAAGCCTTACCCTAGCGAGGGCTAATCGGGAGATAAAAGGTACGTAAACGGCTCTAAAAGGCTACGTAAATAGCTATAATTCCATTAACTATTTACCTTTTTTTTAGATACCTATATAATAATACCTCATCCGGTTTCGTAAGCTTATAACTACGTTATTTTACTATTATTCATTTATCTATACTACTGAGAGAATTAAGTAATGAGGTTTCGATAAATAAGCAGCCTAAGATAACTATATAATTATGATTTAATAATAGTATTACGTAGGCATGCGCCCCTAGTAGGAATCACCTAGCTTACCTAAGCTAGTTAAGTACTTCTATATGTACCTATAGATTGTTTTATATTCTTTAGTAGCTTTCCTTCTTTTCTAGTTAGTTAATATATACCTTCTTATCTATATTCTATTACTTCCTTTATGCGTAACCTAGTAAGCTATACATAGCTCTCGCTAGCTACGTAATAATTATAAGCCCGGGGTACTTTTAAGGAGCTATTATTACTTAGATTATTCTAGCGTAAGTAAATAACGTATATTTATTTATTTCTTAGATCTTACGATTATTTTCCCTTTTTATTTCTATACCGGTACTTTGCTTTCATATCTATTATTAAATAATTACTTACTTATTCGCTATAACAACTAATACGTCCGAATTCTTTTTAGATAAGATTTTAATTAACGTTTACTTACGAGCTTACGATAAGTAGCTACGTTAGTTCTTTATGCTTAAGTCGATAGTTATTTAATTCGGTATTTAGAAGGACGTTAATCTAGATGGAGTTAAGTTTAACCTTAGTCGAATCGTGGTAGGTATTCTTAAGGAGTATATTACTTAAGAGAACGCTTTTCTTAAAGAAAACTATAAGAAAGTAGTTCACGAATAAGTATCGATCGTAACCGAAGACCGAGGAGATTAATTAGTAAGGCTTCAGGCCCGAACTCGAGAGTAATAAATAACTTCGTATAATAAATTCATTTCCTAATAAATAATAATCGAGGCTTAGGTTATAGCTATTAATAAGTAGTATAAGGGTTTTTATGGCTAGAATTTTGCATTTATCTTTATAAGCTTTCTTAAAGTGGTTAATATAGAGATTTAGTTCCTAGACCTTAACCCGATTATCTAAAACCTCGTAAAGATCTTCCGTAAGTAAATCGCTTCTACTGAAGCCGTTATTAAGACGTTCGTTAGGTGAGAATACCGTAAGGTATTCTAAAGAGTAAAGGCAGGTACCTATAAAACCGAGTAATTTTACGCTACGTAGTAATATACCTTCCTTTATACTCGCGTTTATTATATTAGTAAAATTAAGAGCGTTATAGCAGTAAAAGATTTTCTCGAAATAATTAAGGCTAAGAATATAATCGAGTAGGCTATTCGAGTATTAATTGCTCTTACGGAAGTTAATAAACTCGGCGAATAATTAGAGACCCTTAAGTAACTAGGTATCGTATTTAGCGCTTTCGCTACCGAGAATAAATAAAAAGGTAAATTTAGTTATAGAAATTTCGTAATAACTTACTAAGGTCCGATATTAAGAGCGAAATTAAGTAATGATAGCAGCTAAGGAAAAGTAACGAGTTACGAATGCCCTTATAAGTTTAAAGGTAAACTATATATATAGCTAGCTCGCTCTTATAGAATCCTTTAAAAGTCCGTTACTAGTTACATTATACGCTACCTAAAAAATATCCCGATTAATATCATATAAAGATTAAGGCTAGATACGAATTACTTAAGTACGTTAAGCTCTGAAATAAGATTAACCGCTAAGGGTAGGACGTTTCCATAAATAATATACCTAATATTCGCTCCGGGAACGGGAGAGGAAATAACGCTACTACCTAATTAATTAATATTAACGCTATAATTATTAATTTACGTATTATATACCTATCTATCTAATTTAAGATCTACTTTATAATAGATTTAGTCTAATACTTATTATCCGAAAGTACCATCTTCGATAATTACAGAGCTATTTATTTTATTAATAATCGTAACCTTTTAATAAAGGGGTCGTTCGTTCCCGCTAGAAACGGATAAACGGTCGAAGCTAATACTACTGAGGAGGAGCAGAGCGTACGCGATACTAAAGACCCGGATATGTTTACTCGAAAGTATACTCTATCGAAGACTATAGCTCGTACGATAGTCTAAGATAAATGAAACTAATACCGCTATATTAATCGAGAGATAAGAAATCTAATGTAGTTATCGTATCTTAGCTATGCCTCTTAGTCGTAAAGATATAATAGTCGCTAGCCCGAAGGTATAAGAGGTAAGGAAAGAAAAGAAGTAAAACGTAAAAGTTACTTATTCGGCTATAGCGGTACGACGAAGTAACTAAAGCGCTTATAACTAAAATAAATATACTAATCGGAGAACGATAAATCTAATAATAAAAACGAATCTTTAATTAAGGTAAAAATAATAAAGATAGTAATTTAGTTAGGTAATAAATTAAATAATAAGTATCGTATATCCCGTACTTACGGAAGCTATAGTTACTCTATATAAATATAAGGCTTATCGTAACGTATTACGTAATATATTAAAAGGATATGTCTTACCGTATTACTATAGCCTTTTTAATCTAATTATACCGTAAGGAATAATTAAACTAAAAAGGATAGTACGGTATATCTTAATTAATATTTTCCCTTAAAAACTACTACGAATCTTTATTTTACCGGTTATTATTTAATTATTATCGTCGTACCTTTAACTTCTCGTTTAATATCATAAGGAGGCCCTTTTATTATTTTACGGTTAACTTAGCCCGGTTTATCCTTACCGATCTAGCCCGATCGGCGTTCTCCTTCTTTATTTCGGCTATCTTTTTCTTAGTTTCGTCCTAGCTCTCTTAATTAAGGGGATAATAAAGGAACGGGCGCGTCTCGAAGGTTAATTAGGTATCTTTCCTTTATTTATACGATATAGAGGTCTCCTCCGATTAAAAAGCTCTAATCTTTTCTAGGCCGGAAGAAAGAAAGGAGCGCGTTATAACCTTAGCGAGGTTATCGTAACGGAAGTTTACGTCCGTTAATACGAGGAAGTAAGGGAAATTAAATACTAAGGCTATAAAGAAATAACGGACTTCGGTTTATACGATAAACTAAACGGAGGATTTACGGCTAAGGGGCTCGTCGATCGGTATATTTTAAGCGGATATTATAACGTTAATAAGGTTAATTCGCTTTTAATAATTTACGGCTTACCGGAGACGCTTAACGATACCTACTTCCTCCTTTAAAACTCGAACGTTATAAAATTACTTTATTACTTCGGCGTATTTTCTTATAGTATTAAAGGAATTAAGCCCCTTATTTTCTTAGGTTTAGCGGGCGACCTCGATCGGTCGTTTAAAGATAAGATACGGTATAATACCGCTTTAAAAACCGTAACTAAAGCTATCTTATTAATTTATTAACGCGACGTAATAAGTAAACTAAAGGGTTATATTAAGCTCGAGATTACCGTTTTCCTATACTCGCCGTAGCTAGCCGAACGCGTACGCCGCCCGATCGAAGGCGCCGTCCTTAACTATATTAAAGCTAAATAATTTCCGGGGCTTAAGAAGGTATAATATTACGGCGAAGTAAGCTTAGAAGAACTTTAAGGAGTCGGTAATAATTCGTTTAGGATTTATTAGATCCGTATAAATCGTAAAAACTAAAGTAAAGGTAAGGTTATCGAAAAGGTATTAACGGGTTAGAAAGTTAAACGATTCTACCGATCGGTAGCCTATCGTTTAGTACGGGTTTACTTCGAAGGCCGCCTTTCTACCTTTAAGGTCGTAATTAATTATGGTATAAAAGGCGCGGATATCTTCGTTAATAAAGTAGTCGTAACGGACGAGGTATACGAAAGAATTAATTAAGGCTATCTTTGTTTATTCCTATAGCTATTAGTTTATAGTTTAAGGTCGATTAACGGATAACCGGAAGGCCTAAGCTATATCGGATCTTAATTCGATCGGATTTCTTCCCGAATCGTAATTATCTAAAGTATTAAGCTAATATTTCTTTATATTACTTTAGTTATCTTTACTACTATAAATCTTCCGTAAGAGTTTTATTAAGTCGGCTAGATCGATACGACGTACGTTTCTATGGACGGAAGAAAGGAAAAAGGAGGGAGGGATTCCGGCGAAACGGGGGAAAGATATAATAAAAATAAAAAT